TTTCCCCAATTCCAGGTTTAAGCTGCTGAACCAGGAGGAGGGCGAATATTACAACGTCCCCGTGGCCGACACCGACGACTGCGGCCTCCGGCCCAAATTCGAGGTTTGGGAGCCCCAAAAATTCCCAAAAATTCTTAAAAGATTCATGGGAATTTCGAAACTTTACAAAAATAAAAAAATCCCCCCAAAAAAGTCCCCGAAATTCCCCCAAGAAATCCCCCAAAAAATTCCCAGAAATTCTCCAAAAAATTCCCGGAAATTCCCAGAAATTCGAGAAATTCCCCAAAAAATCCCTCAGAAAAATAAAAAAAAAAAAAAATTAAAAAATTCCCCAAAAAAATCCCAAAAATTCCCCCAAAAATTCCAAAAAAATTCCCAGAGATTCCCAAAAAAAATCCCCCAAAAATTCCCAAAAATTCCCTCAAAAATCCCAAAAACATCCCAAGCAAAAATTCCAAAAAGACGTCCAAAAACGCCCCAAAAATGCCCCAAATTTGAGGTTTTTGAGCCACAAAAATTCCCCCAAAAATTCCACAAAAAATCCCCAAAATTCCCCAAAAATCAAAAAATTCCAATTAAAAATTAAAAAAAAAATCCTTGAAAAACACCAAAAACGCCCCAAAATGGCCACAAATTCAACAAAAAAATTTTCCCAAAATTTTCCCGAAATTCCTGAAATTTCCCAAAATTCCCAAATTTTATTTCCCAAATTCTTTGGGTTTTTTTTTTCCAGGCCTGCAATTACCCCCTGGAGCTGTACGAGGTGAGAAATGGGGGGAAAATGGGAAAATTTGGGAAAAAAAAATGGGAAAATTTGAAGGGAAAAAATTGGGGGAAATGAAGGAAAAAAAGGAAAAAATTGGGGAAAAATTCAGGAGAAAAATTGGGAAAAAAGGGAGCGAAAATGGGGGAAAAAATTGGGGCAAAAATTGTGAAAAATGGGGAAAAATTAAGAAAAAAAGTGGGAAAAATTCAGGAAACATGGGAGGAGAAATTGGGAAAATATGGGAGAAATGTGGGCAAAAAATGGAAAAAAATGGGAAAACAAATGGGGAAAAATGGGAAAAAATTGGGGGAAAAAAATGGGAATAATTGGGGAAAAAAATAAGAAAAAATATGGGAAAAGGGAGAAAAAGGGGAAAAATTCAGGAAACATGGTAGGAAAAATTGG